TCTCTCTCTCTCTCTCTCTCTCTCTCTCTCTCTCTCTCTCTCTCTCTCTCTCTCTCTCTCTCTCTTTCTCTCTATCCCAACTTTACTTCATTGAAAATCATTGAAGGGATTTCTAGTATGTTGTCCTTATATTTTCAATCAAATCATCTACCAATAATCTGTACTTTTGTTTTATTCATCTTCCTCTTTCTCAATAAGATGCTTTAAACCTCATTTGAAGTTCTGTATTCATGAAAATACGTTAGATACATATATGTATGTGTAGATAGATGCATAAAATTAATTTTTATATTTTTTTTCAGTTAATGAGGTAATCAATTCAGATATTATGACTAGTAATCTTACGAATACTTCAATTGTAGAATGCGGACTCGAACCACACGATTATTTGGAGGTAATTTGCATAAACTATCTAAAGTATATGTATATATGATCATACATCTTCTTCACTGCCAAGTGAGTGTTGAACGACATGTTACTTGGTGATGTCCAAGTGTGGTAAAGCCCACAAATAAAACGATTCAATTACATCGCTTATTAGAATATATTAAAATATTTTTTAGCATTAATACTGAAAAAACAATGAAAAAACAAAAATGCAAATGTATGAAAACATTAATATCATTTGTTTTAGGTCAAGTTTTTCTTGATCAGCATTGTTGGAAGTTTGATTGGCTTATTTGGGTTGTTCGGTAACGCCAGTACTGCCCTCATCCTCACAAGGTTCTTTAAACTCATTTTCATCTTCATTTTCCTAAATTAGTGTGCAAAATCCTCTTTGGAGCAAACTAAAAATAGACAAAAAGTTGTTTCGAATCAAACAACAACCTGCACTTTATGTGAACAACTGATTCTCCAGTTATTTCATTGAAAATGCTCAATGATTTGTAGGAAAATAACGTGAGAAAGAAATGTGTGGGTGAAGAATGAATGAAAGGTGTTAAGCTTCGAAAAAAGAAGTGAAATATATATATTATGATAATTTGAATAGCAACGTGAGAAGGAAATTAAAAAGAGAGGTCGAATTGAAGAGAATGAGAGAGACGTATGAAATGCAACCGCTCTAGCGTAGATTACAACAAAAATGATGCTAATTTCCGTGTGAGCACGTGGCAATAGTTAATTGAGATATGCAAATTATGCTTTCAGGCCATCTATGAGGAATCCCAATAATTTATTTTTAACCGCATTGGCTGTATTTGATTCTTGTCTTCTGATTACCGCATTTTTCATATATGCAATGGAATATATAATAGAGTATACTCAAGCATTTGATCTTTATGTTGCATGGTTAACATACTTGAGGTAAGAATACCCTTTTCACTTTAATCAAGATAATTTCATTATAGATTTGCTTTCGCATTATCTCATATATCTCAAACTGGAAGTGTTTATATAACGGTAACCGTTACAATAGAACGATATCTGGCAGTCTGTCATCCATGTCGGAGTAAGAAAATGTGTAGCTCAGGTGAGAGATTGTGCAACTTCTCTTTTTTCTATGTTTTTGATCCTTCTTTGATTTACAAACGTAGTTGCTTCATACAAAATGTATATTTTGAAATATTTCTTATTGTCAATATGATCATCTGGATAGAACACGTCATAGTACATTTTTTAAGCGCTTTTGGGCCTTTTCGTCAAAATATAAAAATCCTTCTTCTCTGTATAATGAGCATATAGAGAGATTCCGTGTTCTTTGTTTGTATCTTGTTCTTTCTAATCGTTCCAAAAGCATGTTAATCATCTTTGTTTTAGGAGGTGCTGCATGGTCTATATTAGGAGTCACAACTTTCGCCATCCTCTTCAATGCCACCAAGTTTTTTGAGCTTGAGGTACCCTTTTATTTTTTTTTGTTATTTTTACTTGGTTTTCTTGCAGGTAACTGTCAATCCAGATTGCCCAGATGGCAAGAATTGGCAATCTTATATACTCTTGCCATCGAGAATGGCTGCAAACCCAGTATATCAGCAGGTTTGTCCCAAAAAGAACCAAACTCCATCTAGTTATTTTCTTTCTCCTTTTTTCCAGGTTTATGCCCTTTGGCTAACAAATATAGTTATGGTTTTTCTTCCTTTTGTAACTTTGCTTGTGCTTAATGCTTACATCGCATATACAATTAAGAAAAGTCTAGAGAAGTATGATTACCAACAGAAGTAAGTTAACTTAATCAGTTTGTCGATTCTGTTTTTATAAAGGAAATTAGGTTGAAACATAGAACTTTTCAAATACTCAAGCGTATCTCATTGAATCAAACCAAATTGTTTTTCCACCACCATTCGGAGAACAGATTTACCTTCATTTTCTCTCTTTTTTCGCCCTCTGTTTTTTCTAACTCTCTCTTTCTCTCTACCTCATGCTCTTCCTCTGCTCTGTGTCTTACAGCATTGTGTATGATTTACCGAACTAACATGTTCTCTACAACTTTCAGAAGAATGCTCCTGCTTACTTTTCATTTATTCTGTTCCAAAACTCTAACTTCTTACGCTTCTCTATCTCATTTCAGATCAATAGCTGATGCTCTATCAACGTGCACAAATGTTGCACGAGAAATAGTCAGGTTCGGGTGTGTAGTACGAGAAAAAACGCCTTATTTTGTCAAATTGTTTGCCCGTCGTTTCTCATTATTTTATTAACAATAGCTGGAATGATGAAGCTAACCAGAAAGATTTTCTTCTTTTCTTCCACATAATGCACGTTATTCCAAGTCTCGGAATATTTTTTCTAACTTCTGCATACTCTTTCCACTTTCAAATGAATTAGTTTGTCTTATAACCGCTTAATTAAACCATTTATCTTCCTTTATTTGGAAGTGAATGATACTAAAGGCTCGTTGTTTTGTTTTCAAACTTGAGTAGGCATGGGTACGATTTTAGGTTAGCTTTGTAAACTATGTGCTTCTTCCTATCAAAACTTTTCGTTCATAAATGAAGTTCCGGTCACAAGCATATGAGACTTCTGATCAGAACAAGAAAGTATTAAGTTAATATGTATGCTATTGATTGGCTTATTGTAAATGTTACACTACTTCGGAAGGAATGCTTACCGGCACTAAGAGATATCAAACGAATGCGATTGAACGCATGCTTTAACGGTTATGTGAGCTAACGATGATAAAAGTCATTGTGAACGTGTCGTTTTGCTAGTTTATCGTTTTCATTAATGACTAACAACAATAAATTTTAGTTAATTATTTCGTTTCCTCTATGTTTCATTATAAAACTTCTTTCAGAGTTTCTGGGCGCAATGAATTAAAAGAAAAAAGTAGAGAAGCTACGTTAGTGCTTGTGATCATCGTTTGCATTTTCCTTGGTTGCAACTTTTGGGGCTTCGTTCTCACTTTACTAGAACGAATTGTTGATCATGAAACATTGGTAAATAATATTTTCTTCCTGTTGTTTCAAGAATCTTTTTGAAATGTAATTTTTCAGATGGTTGAACATCATGCTTTCTATACATTTTCACGCGAGGCTATCAATTTCTTAGCCATTATTAACTCATCCATCAATTTTCTTATTTATATCGTGTTCGGAAAAGATTTTAGGTGCGTATAACACTGATTACTGTTGAAGAGTGACGTATATGCTAACTTATTTCATCTTTTCCAGGAAAGAATTGGTTATTGTTTATGGTTGTGGTGTTCGAGGAATTCAAATGAAACTTCCGGTTCACGATAAGTTCTCAATTTGGAGGTGAGGAAATAAATTGAAGGCTAGGCAATAATCTTTGAAACGTTCGAAAATAAACTCGGAAGTTTGTTGGGCATGACCATAATACATGACAAGAAATTAAAAATTTAAAGAAGCCGAAAAAAACAACCGTTCCGCACGCAAAATAATTGCGAAATGAATTGTGTTGTGCCACGTGAAGTTCGAGAATTTCGGAAATTTGCATTTCACACATTTTTTGATTACCCAAATTGTTTTCTTTTCAACTTTGCAGATCTTGGACGAAACGGGGAAAAGAAATAAGACGCTCATTAAGCATCAGTGCTCGAGGAGCAAGACATCGGGTAAATATCAAATTATGCTTGACTTTCAGAGCATGCTTTTTCTCTTTCCTATCTAGTCCTATTTTTTCTAGTACTCAACTGCTCAAATTGATTTTTCTGGAATTCAGAGATTGGAACAAACAAGATTTCTTGATCGCGAAAAGGAAGGAAAGGATATTGAATCATCTCCTATTCGTATATTGCAAAATGGTTAAACTCTTCTCATAATCAGTTTGCTAACTTAAAATAGTTCAGGTGATATGACAAACGGTCGAACGATGCGTAAAACGACCATAACTATATGTCCCGGAGATACGGCAAGAGCGTTAATATCTGAAGGAACACCATGCTAGGCTTGTACATTTGTATCTCGAGCTCTCAGGAAATTTGGGAAGAAAACAGACGATAATGGAAAACAATAGTGAAAAACAAACAAATTTTTTTCCCTATGAAAATTTCAAATCCTTATGTACATTAAGCAGTGCCTTATAATGATACTTCGTGAAACTCAAATTATTTCCTCACAGCTCTACTTTTATGTAAATTTCACTATTCCGATATTTGTTTGATTGTTACGGTTCATGTGATATGAAAAATATTTTTTTTTAAACTGAACAATCTTATTTTTAATCACATTGATACACAATTAAAAACATTCAAACAGACCCTTACACAGTAGAAACATGTATCATAACTTATGGACATAAGCAAACCGAATTATAATGGAGTTTGTGGAGCGAGAAAGGGAGCATAGAGCGATTAAGAGAGATGGGGTTAGTTATCAGCAGTAAACAATAAGTAGTTAGTAATAAAATAAACAAAAGTGAATATACAGGAAAACTATTACACAACTTACGATTTAACCCAATGAAAAGAGTTACCAAAGATTTGAACTGCTATCTTCACCCCCGAACACACGGAAATAAGCAATTATTGCACCGAAGAGTACGATATTTGCAAGATAAACAAGAAATAGGGGAAATCCTGCTATCTAAAAAGTGAAGTTTGAAAAATAAGTTCAACCGTTCGACAAACACGTGCTTTACATCAATCACATAATATGGCAATAAAGTCACTGGAAGTTAGGATTTCCCCAATAGAATTATGCAGTACAAATAGTTTTAGGTACAGTATAACTTAAAAAATTCAAACCACAATCACAAGTGACAGAAAACAATTTAGAACAATGACTGATTCCAACTTCCTGAATCTTCTTCTCTATGGACATAAAAGTAAGCCAGGATGGTTCCGAACATAACAATTGAACCAGTATTTGAGAATACGGCAGCCATAGGCTTTATCTACAAACCACAACTTGAGCATGCTTCTTTTTCCCTTCTGATTATAATTTAAAACACACACACACACACACACACACACACACAGCATAGAAATCATGCGGCATTTTAAAAATCAGATAAAAAAAGATAAAAGGAAAGAAAACGTACCACACCAGCGTGGGCTAGAACTGTTGGTAAAGCGAACGCTGATACTACGATTCCCGTGGTCATGAACAGAGCTAGTTCTATACAAGCATTGGTGCCTAAAATTGGTAAAAACCGTAAAAGAAAGAAGCTTAGAAAAAAGAAATCACCAGCCATATCTTCTTGGAAACGACGAGCAATGAGTAATGGAACAGGGGACATAACATAGAATATGATGACAAAGAAAGGTGACCAGTTTCTGAAAAATTTGTAAAGGAGCTTTATTTGATGATTTAAAAACTCACCCATACATAGGAAGTGCGCATCCCAATACTAACAGAGTAAGTCCTAGTACTCCCGCTAGAGATAGGAAAAGCACAGCTAAAAAATTGGTTGGAGTAAGCATGAAGCTAAGCCGAAATGTAGTATGAACATACCTCTTACTCCACCCATCATTTTTACAGCTCGAACAGGGTTTAGAAACCTTTAATTAAAACTGATATAAATTGTAACAATTAAAGAAATGGAAATGGAAGAAAACACTTTCAAACCAAAGAAAAATTCTGCGCTCTAGGTTCCTTTCGTGTGATTATCTGCGTCTCTCGCATCACCATAATTCTGACCATTCACTAATACTTCTTTTTCTCTGCAGCTCTATAATTTCGCAATGGAGCGCAAAAGTGCTCACCACTGAAAACATTGTTTACGCAGCACTAACTTTGATAACTCGCATTATTTTTAATTTTGAATTTCTCTACTGATTTTTTGTTCAGGGTCGACAACAGTTGTTAAATCAAACTTGAAGCCTGCTGAGAATGCGGCTTTGGAGTTCACCTACAGGATTATTCCCTTATTCATTTGATGAGGTGATGCTTAACTGTTTCTTTCCTAATTCATTTTATATTATAGGTAGTTTCTGTTTTCTGGGACAGATATCCTAATAACTTTGCAAAACACATTCTGTCTGAAGATGTTCTAGAGAGAAAGATCACTGAACACACAATTTTCACAAAGAAGTTGATTGTAAAACAGGGTAGAATTTTGATTATTTGACGTTATTTTACTTTCTAATTTAGGAAGTTCCATATTAAAACGTGTTCCTCGGTGGCTCACTAGAATGACGGATATTAGAACTGTGCCAGTTATAGAAGAAAGTATTTATGACAGGTAATACAGCGTGATGTCATATTATGGCTAGGCTCAAGCTGATTTTATTTCTTATCCTAAGTGCGCACAGCGGAACCGACCGGTCTCATTTGAATAAAAATAAAATATCTATAACTATCGATCTCACTACATTGGTCTTTACTTTTCAGGAGAACCAAAGTGTTGACTACTTATACGAGGAATGTTTCGCATAACGAGCTCTTCTCGTTACATGAGAAGTGTTCGTACAAACCTTTACCAGTAAGCTTCAGAAACTAACGTTACTTTTACTAATTGATGTGTATTTGAGGATTCTCTGCAATTCCCTGTCACAGAATTGCTCAGGAGTGTATATATTCAAATTAATAGTGGCAAGATGAGTTCTGTTTATGAAAAGCTTATGCTGATGGGATTTAAAAAATCTGTGAGTGATGTGTTGCCGACGGAATCTCATATTTTTTTGTATATTAAGATAGCCAATACCGCGAAGGGTATGATGGAAGTATTGGAAAGGAATCATGGTGTACGCACATTTCCG